ATTGCAAGCGATTCAAGTCTGAGTACATGAATTGCAAGCGATTCAAGTCTGAGTACATGAATTGCAAGCATTCAAGTCCTAGCCTGGGGCAGCGCAATGTAAGTAGATTAAGTCGTGATTGAGGTAGTAATATATAAATAAGTGTTTTATAAGACATCTCACAGATGTTTTTTTTATATAAATTTATTTACTATAATTTTTTTTCTATAATTTTTTGTTTTTTATATAATTTTCCACATCTTCCCCGTAGATACCAGAGTGCGCGATTGACACTTGGTAAGTAGAAGGCAAAACGAAGTCACGGACAAATATCTAGATACTATATTGATCATGCTACAAGACGCTATATGTAGTTCAGTATTCTCATAGATAACAATAAAGTCTCTATTGTGAGGGAGTTACCTTCATTAGTAATCGCTGAGCTTCTACTGTTGGAGGATTAGTATACTTGATTCTTCTATATGATCTCTAATCTCCATCTCTAATCGCCTATTTCAAGTACTAATAATGTTCAGAATAAATAGATTTCAAGCGATTGAACAGACTCATTCAACGCTTATCCAGAAGGAGCGCACTGCCTGATAATTGACATTCTCGAATTATGCTTTCATTGCCCAATACGTCTAGTTACGATAACTCTGTGTCTGGAATAACTTTTTTTGTGGCAGTATCCCATCCTTCCCTCACAAGATTCGTAAAATATCTACGTTTGTTCCCTTCTGGATTTTCCAATACTAAAACAAAACTCTTACCACGATGCAATCTGTTGCTAACAAGCGAGCACGTTTTGCTGAAATTCAGTTTGACAAACGTTTCTATGATCCCATCTTGCTACTTATGAAGAATAGTTGAAGTCTTTGCTTTCAAATATATTAACTGTTCCTCTACGGTATCTCTATCGTGGATCGTAAAGCGAGGCTTGATAATAAAAAGAAATCCCAATGATATATAATACAATATTCGAATAAGAATCTGTCATTTTGCAACTGTGATTGTCATTACAAATCCCTCTTGAAATACAGAATTAGTGTAATGGCTCACATTTTGTAATCCTTCGATCGTATTGGGAATGCGACGCGCGGCATTTCTTCATGACGTCGATGGAAGGTACCAAACCATGTACCTGTATATATAATTTTTTGTCTACGATTACATTACTGGATACGAGAACGAATAAAATAAATCAATATATTAATATGATCGTTATGCGACAACAAGGCAAGGAAGAATGAGAAGAGCTTTGGCGCATACATGCCAATAGATTATCGGAATTTTTTGTCCGCAATCGGAATGTAAACGTTTTTCTTGCATGTCGTATCTTTCGTAGTGCTCAGACTATAACAAGAGAATTAAGATTATTTAGAGAGAGAGATTGATCTTTATAAATATAAACGGCAAATCTCAGTGTATCCACGGATATGCAAGGGTCAACAAAATGTTGGACATTACTAAGGTATAAGTTTCTATTCATCCAAGATTATTGACATCTCATACATCGCATTTATTTGTTCTGTTAAACATAAACTCAGTAGATAGTGAATTCATAATCTTACAATATGTATACGCGTACGCTTGTTTGTACCCAGTCCAATTTGACTGTACATGTTTCCATGAACTTCACATAATAAACCTGTTTACTACTAAGTTCACAATGCCAACTGATTGTTGATGGGGAAGATGCGTGGAATGTTCTACAATCAGAATGGAAAAAGCCTCAAATATCGTTGCTTTCAATAATCGTACATGATAATGTAGTGTCTGAGTTTGGGACCTATCTCAGTTCCGAACCCAGACACTCAGTCCAGAACTCAGTTGTCTCAGTCCACTGAGACAGGTCCCAACCGAGGTACAACAATGTTATTTCTTTGATAGTTTACGAATTTTAGTCGGCAAGAAATTATATTAACATGGACAACTAGATACAGTACGTGTTTTGTTAATAACAAAAATTGTTCACTTCTCTCAATTTTCGCGTAAAAACGCCTGCAAGTTCATATCTTACGCGCCCTCTCTCAGTTTGAATACAATGAATAAAAAATGCTTGCAAAATCGTCCTTCAAGATTATACGCTAACACTGTCTAACTCGCAATATCCAAAGCATGAAAAAGTTATTTAAAACAATGCCTCTACTGAGTCCAGATAATAAGCGTGAAATTTGTGAATATGCTAAACGTTTTAAAGTGAAGCATAGCGAATTAGTAACCGTTTAATAAAAGTTCATCCTTGCTATATAGATCGCGACAAAAATTAAAGAATTAAAGCTAAACTGTAATAATACAATTTTAATCACATGACCATACGTAAATTTAGTTATGAAGCTCTTAATATTAAGATATTTTAATAAGCACTATTTAAATCAACTCTATTGATCATAGTTTGACTTATTGCGAAGATGAATGGGTGCGCAAAATGAGGTCCAGCATATCGTTGCGGATTACAGTCACGGGATAATTATGCGTTTAATTATTGATGACATGTTACCAATAGTGTCGCTGTTATCAATTGAAAGAACGAAGGAGACGATACTGAAATACACAGGTGGTGCTCTTTATATATTATCTGGCTAGTAGACGCTTGATAGTAGAAATGCGTATTAACCGCTCGATCTAGTTTGGTGGCTTGAAGATTGCCATTATCCAGACAGAGTTTCGGATCGCATAGAAAAAGTAATCCCATTGATTGTGTATATGATGGGTGTAAGAAGTGTCGTCGCTGTTCACTTTGTTAAAACATCTTGCTCAATTTTATTTCTATTATGCCATTAGAGAGAGTCACACATGCATAGTATTGCTATAACCGATGTTGGTTATCATTTTTGACCGATGTGTTGTCATTAATGTGTTCATAACACTATGTTGTGTATAGGGTGAAAAATTGAGCACCCTCCAAAGCTTGATAACTCTGTCAAGGATTGCGATATGTAACACGCATATCTTCCTTCACCGGTACCTTTGGCAGAGCCGTTTTTCCCATAACAGCAACAGCCGTGGTAGCAAAATTAGGACCTAAACACATTAACGAACCTATCAAATCCATGCGACCTGATTATGAACGCTAGTTCTTTGTTGGAGCTCGACTTAATGAGTGAATTAGAGGGAGATAATACTCCAAAGAATAAATTGATACAACTTTATTACAAATTTATATGTAAATAACAACATATATTCAATCCTTAAATCATCCAACTGCTGAATCCACAGATTTCAATGACCGATAAATTAGAGATCATGCACATCAGGCATACAAAGTTTTAGCCGAATCCAGTCTCTCTTAAAGGCTGTGGTTCAAAGGTCGGGACTGACCCCGGTTGAATTTTCTCTGATTCGAGCATTGATTTGCTTGACTAATCTCTTCTCTCGTTTCTTGAGGGTTCTGTATTCGACTTTCAAATCTTCCATATATTCATATGCTTTTTGATATAGTTCTTCCAATTCTTCAGCGCTAGCATCAGATTTACTAAAGTCAAACATGGCCAATATCTTTTGATCGTCTGCCGGTAAAGCTTCTATCGGAAGCAAACGACATGGCACCTTGACTGCTTGTTTTTTCTTTGCAAATTTCCTTTTCAATCCAGAAATATCGTTATTATTATCAGATTTACTGGATTCCATGTTAGCCGTGTCTTGTAAGGGAAGATGTTGAGCAATTGAAGAAAGAAAGCAAGATTCTTCCGGTGGCCCGAATCCGTTGTTGTGTTAGGTTTATATGTTGTTATTTGTGCTACGGTAACGTAACGGCACTCCTCGTGACGAATAAGCATACGACACCCTCGGAAATCTTTCAAGTGTGTTCGTTTACTAGTGTCTGTCTGTTGATGTGATTCAAAAAATTGGAGAGTTTCTTTGGAATAGAAGGAGTAGAAATCTGATACTCTTAGTCTGTTGGCTCTGCTTTCGTCAAATTTTCATCTCTATCAATATTTTCCTCTGATTGGTGGAAATGGAAAAAAGTAAAGCTAAGACCGTGGCAGATTTAGATATGTTGACTAGGCAAGTCGAAGTGGCGTCAAGAAGGCGACTAATTCTGTATTGCTAGGGTTGAAATTCGAAAAACGCACTACTCTCTTCACGGTCAAATGTGATGCGTATTATCGTGACTTTATACTCTGAAATGTAATGTGATATTCATACAAGCGAAATTGTTTTTCAGTATCATTAGCATCATTGTTCATTTCGTGTATTGGATCTACATTTTAGGATAATGAAATATTCGGTTGAAAGAAAAGCTGTGTGAGTTGCTTTGAGATGTTCGTCGAGATCCCGGATGCATCCAATAATCCCATTTAATTCGGCTGGTGGTTGTCCATTTCGGAAACATTCCAGTGCTCATATTACTGCAAGATGATTTATGAACTGTGTTCCATACTCCTTTCCATATCATATAAATGCCTCTTTGTTTGGATCAAATCTCTGTGAGAGGCGGTTCCACTGGGGCACTTAGCTCAAAAGAGATGTCAAGTAGTCGTGCAGGTATTACGCTCAGCAAGGCCGCTAGACCAGTGCATAGTCTACTGTCTTTCAAACGACGCACTACTTTTGTTCAATAACCCGAAAACTTTGGTATCAATCCAGTCAGCAGTCCTGGCATTGAAACCCCAAAACTTCTTAAGCACTAACCTAGCCGCTATCTGCACCGAATAACTTGGATGTTTACCAACTGTTCGATAGTTGCATCCTTAATTGCGCTTGCAGTCCTTCCGAGATTGATAAAATGTCATCTACCACACATATTCGACAGTTTGTTGTGGAGATTGGTATCGGTTTAGAATGGTATTAGGATTGCCTGTACTCGGGTATGAGCGGTATGGTCAGGGTCGAAAATCGAGTGGATGTATTGCGGGCGTTGGATACTACGTCGAAAAGTAAGTGTTTTATGATTGAGGTGTAGTTATTTCTACGTATTTCGTTCCCAATTGAACAAACAGCCCGGCATGCTATTCAATAATAACACCCCTTATCTCCCGCGTCGTTTCCTTCTTATTGTACCGTCCCAACAAAATCTAAGCTTTATCTTCTTCTGTGTTGCCTACATTTACGTCTTCATTATCTTCAGCTTGTCCTTGCATTCCTTGTTTTTGGGATGGTTTAGATTTTAACATTGACGTGGATGCCATAAAGACTATTTGGTTGAGTCTGAACGAGGAGTGTTGAAACAAACGGTGCGGCTGTTCGACGTTTCTAAACGGATTCAATCTCTCTCTCAGTCAGCATGGATGGGGTCTCGTAGTGGGACGAGAGAAACAGAGCTAATAAGAAAGACCTGGTGGAGTTAGCTCGAAAGCCGACCGAGAAATTGAATTAAAAAAGATATTGATCAGATTAAACACCTATCGAATTAGTTGTGGAAGAAAGTAGTTGGCGGCAAGCGTGTCGGAAGAGGTCCCAGAACGAAAAGCTGAATATCGCCTAAGCGTGGATTATAATATTGGTGAAGTTCCGTGAGGCGTAGCAATGACGGAATAGATTGACTATTAGTATAGACAATACATTCTATTAAATATGGGATTTCTTTTTCCCACTGATAGATGTCATAAGCTTTCACCTATTTCTGTCGATGCTTTGACATTCTGGCGTGAAAGGGCATCTGACAAAAGTTGGGCGAGCTATCGCAGTTTGGAAAGTAAAAGTTCCCGAATTCCGAAGTAGTCGGCAGATCTAAAAATCCAATAACGATTGACAATTTGTTAATAATGATATATCTTAGATCATAGAAGTGCCTCAAGACGTCCAACTATTCGTACGAACAGATACCAAAGTATCACATTTACTATCATATGCATCACCACATTCCAATACCAATTTGGCGGTTATTCCTGTCGCATACTAACCTCTAATGCCCTGTCAATCATCAACACACGGTCCAAAAGTCTCGTCTTCCATAATCCCACTAATATTATGTTCCGTTACTTCCCCCTTCCTTAATTCTTCCTCTTTCTCTGCATATTTCTCATTTCATTTCTTTCGCCTTGTATCATCTTCACTTAATAATATATATAGACCAACAGCATGTTCATTGACGATGAAGATGTATTTCAGACCAGCATTAAGAAGGCTGATCCCCACTGGATCAAAACATAGGAAATCATTGTTAGCTTGATTCGATAGCAAGAATTGCAAAATATAACTTTATTATAAAACTTACGTGAAAAAACGCGCAATAATCCAGCCTTCCCATAGCCAGAACAAGCAACCAACTCGACGTCCTTTTTTACGCTGCGACGCTACCATCCTGCCCAGAAAACAAATAGTTTAATAAACATCCTATCCATAAACATTCCCAGCGCTCTTGTACATTTCCTCCTTTTATTACCACTCGTCATATGAAGCATTATTATTACCTCTCTATACGTTGCCTCGCCTATTGTCATGCAGTATTCCAACATTGATCAGAATTATCAAAAATCCGGAACCACTTTCTGTAGACGTGATCAACTGCGCTCGTTCGCTATCAGTTCATGCAGGTCTTTGGATCGATCCAGAGATAATTGACAAGGACGTATAAAATTGTTTCTACGAACATATCTATTGAAGAAAAAAGTCGAAAACATAATAAATTATTGGATTCTAATAGTAGGGATCGTATTCCAAAAAATCATGTAAGACCGTAATATGTACGTTAATCTTCTCATTCTTGTCGTTCCACCTACAAAAACTTACCGACAAGCTTCCCAACAGGCTTCTTTGCCTCACGTTTGTTCTTTCTCTTCCTCACCTCCATTAAATCCTAGACTTGATATAAGACTAGTACCAACTTTTTCGATCTTAATCGAACTGAGGCTTCATAATGAGGTTTGGAACTGCCGACGGTCTTCACGTAAGTCTGCTGCAAGAAAATAAATTGTTTAAAAGAGTGGAAGTTGCATGCATGCCCGGAATCTGGTTAATAATATTATGGGGTAAATGGCGACTTTTTAAGTTTTTTTCGGGTGCAATACGTTACGTTT